CTCAAGGTTCTGAGCTGCTCTCGCAAGAGAGAGCCAAATCAAATCTCAACATCGATCAGCTTGCCGATTTTATGTTCACGCAGGAAGTCCTTAAGAGAAATGATCAGATTCTCAAGATTTTACAAGCTGACCCTGTCTTCGACAAATCCCAAAATTATTTTCGAGGGAGAATAAGCAGGATAGAAGCTGCTTTGGCGAGAGGAAAGAGGCTGCAACAGTTGCAGGTGAAGCACAGGTGGACAAGAGACGAGTATCAGACAGCCAGCGACCTCATCAGCGAGCCTACTCCTTATGGTCTACATTCGAGCATGTTCATCGTCACCCTCCGAGAGCAAGGTACTCCCGAACAGCACAAGCTCTTCCTCGAGAAGGCGGAGGCATACAAGATCATTGGCTGCTATGCCCAGACCGAACTTGGTCACGGTTCTAATGTCAGGGGCTTGGAAACAACTGCTACATGGAATTCCGACGATAAGACCTTCACGATCAACTCGCCATACCTTACTGCTTCGAAGTGGTGGATTGGTTCACTCGGAAGAACCGCCAATCATGCCATCGTCATGGCCCAGCTCTTCATCAATGACAAAGCCTACGGTCCTCATCCTTTTGTCGTCCAAGTCAGAGATATGAAGACTCATGAACCACTACCTGGCGTCCACGTCGGTGACATCGGCCCCAAATTTGGATACAATACGATGGATAACGGTTTCCTGCTTTTCAAGAATGTCAAGATCCCTCACGTCAACATGCTGGCCCGCTTCTCCAGCGTCGATCCCAGTACTAGCAAATACGTCCGACCTTCCAACCCTTCTCTCGTCTACGGCACTCTCACTTTTGTTCGAAGCACCATCGTCCTGCAAGCTGGCTCTACCCTTGCCCGTGGCGTCACCATTGCCACTCGCTACTGTGCCGTGCGACGACAATTCCAAGACCGAGATGTCCATGAGCCCGGCGAAAACCAGGTCCTCAACTACACGATGGTCCAAATCCGATTGCTGCCCTTGCTCGCAGCAACCTATGCCCTCCATTTCACGGGCAAGAGCATGATCAGGCTGTATCAAGAAAACCAGAAACGCATGAGTGCCGGCGACGCTGGCAAATTGTCCGACTCCAACCGCGGACCGGGACCCGAGGAACTCAATCCAGGCACTGACCTGCTCGCGGACTTACACTCCACTAGTTGTGCATTGAAAGCCTATGGTTCTACTACCGCCGCAGAAGGGCTTGAGGTTTGCCGCCGCGCCTGCGGCGGTCATGGGTACTCGTCATTCTCTGGCATTGGTACCTGGTACGCCGACTACCTCCCCACGGTCACTTGGGAAGGCGACAACTACATGCTCACGCAACAAGTTTCGCGGTACCTCTTGAAATCTGCCCGGAGTGTCATCCAAGGTAAGGCAGCAAAGAACGACACGACGCGCATTCTTATCGACTTTATTCGCCGGCGTGACATTGGCTGTGCATTTGACGTGATCGGCAATGACGATGACCTCGTCGCGGCATTTGCATGGCGTGTCTCCTTCTTGACCTTTGAGGCTCTGCGCCACCGTGATGAGGACAAGCAGTCCTGGAACTCCTTGCTTGTGGATTTCTGGCGTTTGTCCACAGCACACGCCCAATACATGATTGTCAAGAACTTCCACGACGCATTGCGGGATCAGAACACCAAGAAGCAATTGGATTCCGAGACGGTGTCCCTGTTGCATAAGTTGTTTCGCCTGTATGCTCTGCATACCCTCGAACGTGAAGCATCGGAATTCTACTCCTCGGCCGCAGTGACGGTGCGACAGATCACGCTGGCCCGCACGAAGACGGTGATGAAATTGCTGGAAGAGATCCGTCCCCATGCGGTACGATTGGTTGATGCGTGGAAGTTCTCCGACTGGCAACTCGATTCCTCCTTGGGCAGGTATGATGGGAATGTATATGAGGATATGTTTCACCGAGCGAGCGAGTTGAACCCCCTAAACAACGTGGTGTTTGATCCATATCCAGACTCAAAGACACTGTTCAAGAAGGATGAGAGAAAGGATTTGAGGAGCAAACTGTGAAACCACCACAAGTTTTGTCGTTGTATTTTTGAATAAATCTTTTGGTGCTCATGACCGTTCGGACATGCAAAACCTGGGAAGGGGGGCAAATACCCCCATTTGTTCTTGGTATAGAGAAGATCTTAGGGGATATCACATCTATGGGATCAACAAAAAGCGCACAAGCAATTCCTCATTTAAACCTAGGCAGGGGTCCACACTCTATTCGTCCACCAAAACCAAAAACTAGTGTACAAGCCGTCCAGACGCTTGATGCTGGAGAAAAAAAGGTCTGCAGAATTGCGTAAATGGGTATCTCTTTATGATCATACCATCTTGCTTCGCCCTGTGCGCCAGCTTGCTGTTTTTTATGCTCTTCATATCCTGCAGAAGACCCATTGCGCAGGAAACAAATCAAAAATCGATGGTGGCTAGGCAACCGGGGTCCGAGACAAGTCGAGCACGGTCTTGGGGACTATCCGGATGACGTTCGCCGATCCTCCAGCTGCTTTTGAATGATTAAGGCCTGTTTTGGACAACATATGGAAATGCATACCAACGTGTTAAAGCCTCCCTCGTTACAGCTCACCTTGATCCGGATCCCTGGTCCGTGGCGGTAGTGGCAGTGACATCGATATCTTCCCACCCCTTTGGTCCAATAGCTTCATATACACCCAGTCGCCGACTCAAAACCGTGCCTAATCCCCTGTGAACTTCAATCTGGAATGGTTCAAACGGCATTTTCTCTCCGTCAACCGAGAAATGGCCAGCATCGCGATTGACGTTCTTCCTGCTACTTATCTGGTCCACCACCAGGCCCTGCTTGTTCCGCTGGTGGTCGTTCTCGGCTGCGGAATCCGCTATAGTCCCATACCGTGGAATGACTCGGAGAGCGCTCACTTTCCGAACACGCACGCACTCCTTGTCGAAAAAGGCACCTTTGGGAACGGAAAGCAGCAGATCCAGCGCTTTCCGTCGCGGGATGTCGCCGTCGATGGTGACTAAATCGAGAAGACCGTCCGAAGGGAGGGAAGCAGGAAAGAAGGGGGCATCTGCGGCCATCATAGTCATATTACCGCAGTAAAGGTTGCCCAGGTTGGCGTAGAAGGTTAGAGGAGTCCAGCCAGCATCGGTGGGGAGAGGATCATTGACCGTACCATATCGTAAGGGCGGTAGTCCGAGATTTTTTGACATATCCAACGGCCCGTCCAGATCAGAATGAGATATTGAAGCCTGGGTTGCCCTTTTGGCCATGTGCTGAGCGTAGTGCCTCTTGATCTCTTGCTTATCCTCAATCTCCGTCTTCACAGCGATGTCGCAAGGATATAGCGTCTTGCCTAACAGTCGGACAAGAAATCCAAAGTAAAACCTTGCGTCACCCATCCACCGAAGATTCTCGGTTCCCAGGTCGCTTTCCGCCACTATGCCGAGTGACTGCGATAGAAAAGAGAGCGTTCTAGTATTTCCCTGTGTAATGCTGACGAGATCCAACGGGGTGCGTACACCTTTCACAACACACAGAGCAGCCGTGCTGCATTCACCTGTCCCAGTCAGATTCCACGCCATACCGTTTCCGCTGCCGCAGGGGAGTTGGACAACGGCCACTTTTCTCAGGGCCTCCGCCGCATTAGGTTTCTTGGCAAGGCCGTTGATACATTCATGAGGCAGTCCATCTCCGGACACGCTTGCAATGGCGTCGAATGCATTGATATCCAACTTTTCTGCAATCTCGACTGCATGGCCGTGATGTGTGGTCCGCTCAGTGTCGACTTCGCATCGCGCTGCCGCAAAGATAGGTTCGATCTCCTTGGTGTATTGTTTTACTGCCTTTCCTTTCCCTCCAAACGGATTTATCAAGACCTTTATCCTCTTCTTGCGTTGGGCTTGTCCATACGCCCGTCGTAGCAGACGCTCGACCCATCTTTCAGCCTTGTCCAGGATCGCTGTAGCACACCCGAGGGTATAGTTGATGTAAGCAACACGGACAGGGGAGTTTGCTGCCTTGGAGGTCGGTTTTGCATAATGAACGGTGAGTTCGCCCTTGACAATCTCAGCCCAGAGGACGTTGAAATAAGGAATGGATCGCGTATTGGTAGTTCCTGGTCATCGAGGTCAGTCACGACTTTAGAGATAATCGTTCACGAAGCCTGTTACTCTGAGAAAAGATTCCAAAGCAATCAAATCCTTCGCTTATGCGGAGACCTTCGTCTGCGATGCTGTTAGACAAGCTCCCGCTATTAAGAAACAATGACCACGAACCTAGAACAATTACCGCGTCAGTGCCGAGAGTCAATGTGGCATTTCGACCAACGCCCAGCGTGGACTCGGCGACCGTCTCGCGCTCATCCTGAATCGCTGCTTGGTCAGAGAACGGATCTGATGGGGCATCCCTGGAAATGTCAACACTGGCCATGGCGAAGGCAGCGGGCGTGCATAGTGAGGGTGAAAAAGAGATTAGGCGGCCCAAACAATGAATAAAACAAAAGAATGACTGAAGAGCTGCTCTACAAAACAGGCATCCGCTTGCTGACACAAAAGCGGATGGAGGCTGGAAGACTCGGAATATTACATGGATAAAGGCAGGCGCAACCCACAAAACCAGATGGAGTCCTGATTCCCTTTTGAACCACGAAGCCGATGTGCCCGAAACCACAACGTCAGGGTTCCCTGTTTTGGGGGGAGGTCAAGGCGTTAAGTTTCCATCGGCTTGCCGGCAAGGCAGCAACAGACCAATCTCCATCCCCCTGCTGTGTGACTGGGTTTGCAAATGTCACTCACCGAATTAATAAATCGGCTCAATAATACGAGAAAACGAAGTACGGCCTTGCGCGTAAGCTGGAGAATACTGAGCCAGAAAGGTTCCGAGTACCTCATACTCCGAAATTACCTACTAATACTCGCTCGGCGTGCAAGGCCACCTATTAATAGACCACGTAACTATACCACTTTCCTGGGCAGTTGGGACCTTCCTCATGCTGTCGAGTTCTGTCGGCTTGGAAGCGACACCCCTCCGCTGCTCTCACTCTTGGGCGTCTGAGCGTCAGGATCATCAACCACCATCCGCCTAATCTCCACGATCCAAGGATGCTGCAGCAATTCAGCCGCCGAGCTTCTTTTGGCTGGATCACGCTCGAAGCATTTCTTCAAGAAATCAATCCCCATCGGACTCAGCTGGTCCTCGGTGGGTAGTTGTGGTGGATTACCCTGAGCAATGTTGTACATGATTGCCCACTCGTTGTCCAAAGTCGACCAAGGACGACGGCCCGTTGCCATTTCCAAAATCACACATCCCAATGACCAAATATCTGCGGCTCCCGAGAAGCGTGAGGTTGCTGGTCCATCTCCACGAATCACCTCGGGTGACATATACATTGGTGTTCCCGTCATTGTCTTCTGTGGCTGTCTTGGAAGCTGGCCAGGATCGACATTGGCGCGCTGTGGCGGCTCTGGGGCCATCATTGTTTGTCCTTGTCGCGCAATGATCTTCGCTGCACCAAAATCGACGTATTTAATAACACCGTTATGATCAAGAAGGACATTCTCCGGCTTAATGTCCCGGTGAACAATATGTGCCGAATGCAAATAAGCCAATCCTTCCAACATCTGTAGTGCGTAGACCATGATGACGGTTTCGTCCTCAATCCGTCCATGCTCAAGAAGACCAGCCACCGAACCGCCAGAGCAGTACTCCATGAAGATGTACACCTTGTCGCGATGAACTTCGATTCCGTAGTACGAGACAATGTTGGGATGATCGAGAACCGCCAAAACACCCATCTCATCACCAATCTGCTTGACAATCGTTGGAATCAACTGGGGGTCTTGAAGACGAATCTCTTTGACGGCCATTAAAGTTCCTGTGTCGAGATTGAGGGCCGCATAGACCGAGCCGAAAGTACCTCCGCCCACAAATTGACCTTGTTGCCATCGCATTGTGATGTTGGTCGCAGAAGAAGAGAGGAAGGTGAGCGACCGGTCAGCTTCGTTCGATCCCTCCAACACGCGTCCGAGAGTAGTCTTTGTGCCTCGTTCCTCACGAACTTGGTCGATGGCATTAAGTTCGGCCAGTCTCTGTTGGCACATTTCATTACGACAATCCTCGTCGTTGCGCAATTTGTTGTAGTCCAGTCGCTTGTTCATGCCAGTCAATGCCTCCATCCGGGATTTCTCCTGCTGTGCAGCCAAAGTCGATCTCGCACCCATGATGTCGAAATGAGAGATCAATACAGACATGCAGCCAGCCACCTTGACCCTGATGCGTTTGTAGTCCTCGTCCGTGATGTCCAGAATATTCCTTCCCCGCGTCATCGCCATTGCAAACTCCAATGCAACAACTGCCCATTTGAACGTTCTCCGGTCAGCCGCATCACAATCATCACAAATAAAGCTGATCCAGTCCAGTGCAAGTCGAGTGAGCTTCATGTTGTTCATCATACGTCGGTTGGCATCCATATATGTCAGAGATCGTTTCCCAAATTCAGTTGCAAAAGCAAAGCAAGATTGCACCAACTCTGGGCTTGCGATCCCCCCATTCTGCGATCGAATCACCTCCACACTTTCCATGATCGTATTAGACAGTTTGAACGTGGTCTTCTTGATTTTTCCAAGCTCAAGATTTACTCGAGACAGGTTAGCTCTCTGTTCAATGACCACGTCCAATTCTCTGCCGATAGCATTGGCAAATTCCATCCGAGCGCCTTGAAGACGAAGCGATGATCCGTCAGCCACGAGACGGAGTCTACCCAGTCTTACATCAGTAGGCAGTTCCAGAGTATCGAGCTCCATTCTGGGTCCCTCCCAAGCCATGTCGTCCTCCGGCCTGATGATCAAAATGTAAGGGTTTGAGGGATCTTCTGCCGCATCATCCTCATGAAATGAAGTTCCCAGCATTGACTGGATCTCTTTCGGTCTGTTCCACAGCGACGCCGAAGCCACAAAATGAATGCCTTTCGGACTGTTGGTACTTACTTCCACGAGGAAGTGGCCAGATAACACGAGGGCTTCCGCGAACCCCTGGAGCTGCTCTGCCCCCATTCCCACATTGAACTCCGTCGCATTCTCGAACCTTTGCCGCAGAATCCGCGAGAACCTAAACAGCTTCCGTTGTCGAACTCGGACAGAATCTAGAATAGCCTTGTATCGTTTCTCCATTTCCTGCGGACTCTCGTCAGGTTTGCTTCGAAGCTCTCGCTCGAATGAAGCAGTGAGGCGAAGTAAAGATTTGGCTGTTAAGGAACTGAACTGCTCTGCAACCTCGATATCGCCACCTTCGAGTTGACGGCCTATCTCGTTCGAAAAGCCCCATTCCTGTTCGAGGATTTCAGCTTCGCGGAATGTGTTCTTGTTCGCGCCCAATTTCCAGTTCAACATCTTAAAGTAGAACTTGAGGGCGTCGACAATGACCTTGTCGAAGATTTCGTCAATGCAAGGAGGCAAGTCCCATCCTGGTTCAGGATGAGCCATTGTGAGGTATTCTTGCTTGATGAGGCAAGCGAGCCGCATGAGAATCTGGAACTGTGCAATCATCTGGTCGATGATCATTACAGACTGCTGCGCTGATTCCTTCATCTTCTTCGCATATAACAGCCGCATACGGATGATCTCCTGGATTAATCTAGACGGGAAATTGATCAAAGTCAAAAGCTCTTCGATGTAAGGAGGAAGATGACGGGCGGCAAACGCCTCAGCGTTCTCAATCAGGGTGCTCTTGGCCTTCGTGATGACCTCGCCGATAGCCAGGAACATACTCTTATCACCCTGGAGCGACTTCAGGCCATCCTCCTTCAGAATCCTGTCGATGAAGGAAGATTCATCAGAAAGATCTCCATCTCTGCTGGACCGACGTTTTTGCCTAGTGAAATCTAACTCGAAGTTCCCGACCCATGCCTGAAGAACAGCCAGCTCAGTATTGATGGATTGTGTGATATTGTGCCAGGAGATGATGGCGTCACAACTCTGTTTGAAAGCATCAGAAGCAGCCCTGCTCTGAGCAGCTTCGAGTTCTCTCCGCGACGGATACAGCCATTCGCACTTCTCAATGTTTGCCACTGCCTCCTCGACTTGTTCTAGCGGCGACTTGCCTACCACTGTCTCGCCCTTGATCTCAAAGGCAATGATTTGTTCGATAATGGGGCCGATTTGAGCACGACCTTCTTCAATAAGCTTCTTCTGCATTTGTAAAGGTCGGCCATAATATTTTGCCCTTACACCCAGCCAGATCTCGGCGCCCAATTCTGCCTTGCTCTTTTGCTCGGTTGTGCCGATCAGCCGCTGCTTCTCCTGCTTGACCACGTCACCTTTGAGAACGGAAGCCAACATCGAATGCCACTCGAGCCGTTCTCTGTTCTCGGAATTCTGCAGTTCCTCCTCTGTCGGCTGGAGATTCTCCTCGTTGCCCAGAAACATGAGCGTCTCTGGGTCGTACGGATCGTCGAACCCGTGTTCGGCCGACGGAGATTCATCGTCGGTCTCGTCATCCGTACTGTACCCAATACTCGGCGTTCGAGGATCATTGTCAAGCCAATCTTGCGGTTGTTGTCTAACTCGCTGAACATAGGCCTTCTCCTGTGCCTTGTACTGTGCATTCGGATCCCTTCTCGTGCCCCGCATAGTGTTTGAGGAATGTATTCTCTTAGAATTGAGGGACAGAAATTGAGGCGGCTTTCGTGGAGGTGCATAGGTATTTGAAGGTGTCCGGAGCGGAGCACCAGGTCTGGCGCCTCGCAGCTCTGAGATGGCACTCTGAGCGCTTTCCGAGAAAGATCGGTCCATGTTCTGGGGCCCACCGCTCCCACCTCTTGGTCTTGGTCCATATGGGCCCCAGGAGGAGAGTCCGGAGGAGAACCCCGTAGAGGGTGTATACGCGGAGATGGAGGAAGTGGGAGTATAGGTTACAGGGCCATCAGGGTTATCGTAGGAAGTGGTAGGATACGCATAGGCAGAGGATGGGATAGCATCTTCATCAGAGCCGGATGAAGAGCCGCCGCTTGGGCGATGCATCGGCATCTCTTCATGCTCCATAACGAGGGGCAAGCGACCTTCTTCTCTGCGTTGCTCTTCGGTCTTTGGAGCACGAGGTCCGACTCTGGGAAGGGTAATGGGACGCACAGGTAAAGGAGCGACGACTTGAGACCGACTCTGAACAGGCCGCGATAACGTTTGATGCAGTGGTGATGGCTCCAAGTCAGGTGCAGCAACAGGAGCACTGTTGGCACTGACAGTTGTGGCAGACGCAACGTGTGGCTGAAGGACAACCCCGACGGGGTCGGGAATTGGTTGGCTTGTTGCTGACTGAGGCATGGCTGCAATCGATGCCAACTGGCTGTGCGCTGCGGAGAAGAGATCCTCTGAAACTCTATCTCACCGCATTAAAGGCGTCGCAAAAGGTAATAACTACTATGAAATACCTATGGATATTGGGGTAGCTTCAGAACTGGCTAAAAATAATCCAAAAAAAAAAAATTTAGGTACAGAGGAAAAAAATCCAGTATCACGTCGACGCAAAGCTCCACGGCACGCGTCTCGCGATTGTCCAGTGCCGTCCTTCCCGTTGTCGCCTTCCCCGTTTACGAGTCGCCGATAAAGAATTATTGATTGCCTGGATCTGTGATCCGATCATGGATGGAGGAAATCAAGTTGGTAGCCTGCTTTGTGACTCGCCCACGAATCGCCCATCCCACATCCAGTGACACAAAAACCTGGCAGCTGGCGAGATGGCTCTACTACTACTTGTTTGCTGCACTTGATTGTTTTAAATCTCGTACTAAATCAAGGAATCTTTTCTCGACGACTCAGTCACCGATTCCTAACAAACAAAAGTCTTGGGCCAATGGTGGCGCATCCATATCGATCTAGATCGATGACATTAGGTGCTACGGCCCGGACCTCAGGTTACAGTGTATGGTGTCTTGTGGTGCTACCATAACTTAGTATGACCGAAAACAATTCTGTCAACAACCGCCTAGGCACGCCCCAAAAAGCTATTGTCTGCTCTTAGATCCTTACAGCGAAGTGGCATTTCCCAGAGGCTCGACAAAGCTGTCGACGCTCCCAAAAGGGGCCCCTGACTTCCAGCTTGATCGCGGGGTGTGCACAGCCTCATACCTCGATTTCGAGCAAACCATCTTCGCAGCAAGGTTCAACAAGAGTGAGGGTCACCAGACCATCATGCCGAGAAGGTCTTGGAAGCCAGCAGCCGAGACCAACACAACAGGCTCTCGCAGGACTGATGCCAAACAGAACATAGGTACATATGTAATTCATCTTGAGCTGCTCCTCATCCAAACAATGGGCAAGACATGCGATGAGCGCAACTCGGACGGAGCTCGGAAAGGCATTCGCACTAGGACAACTGGTGATCGATGCCGTCGCAGCGGCCAAGTTCTGGGCTTGCAGACCAGTTGCAACGTCTCGCGCAGTGCTCACATTGCGACAACCCTTCTTGGCCGAAACGAGCAGAATTACCTGTTTACCTTTGCTTGGTTCCAATCAGTAATGGACAACGGGTGTATGTGTCAATCGAATCGGAACTGCGAACTGCGTAGCTAACGGAAGGTCGGCAAGATACTTCAACACCCAGTTCTCCAGAGTCTCCTTGCCAAGTCTTGGACAATAATATGTCGGGGCCGCTGTCAGGCAACTAATTGAGAAGCTCAAGATTCAGATGCAGTTTGGAAGGCCATTCCACCCATCCATCATCCTTATCAAGGTTGGAAGTCCGAAATAGTACTTGGCGACATGGGTGAATGAAAAGAAAAGGATCCACCAGTATCTGTCAGCACACGCGTCAGGTGAATGTGGACATAGATAGTTGCACACCGGTATATGATCCCGATAATACGTGAGAAACTGTAGACTTAGAGACATGATCATGGCAGAGAAGAGGTCGATTTATAAGTACATAGAAAAGCGCAGATGTCAGAGATTGGTGCTGGCTGTCACCTCCTTGCAGCAAGAAACCCAGTGGTTGTGAGAAACACGTTCGCCGTACGAGATAACTCGCCCAAGGGACAAGGTATGGGCAGTAGCCGAAGGAAATGAAATAGACAAGAACCATCAAACTCGTTATCTATGTGGAGATGCACTGAGGGTTCACACGGCGCCTCCAACATTTGGATTTGCGTCTGAGCCAATTGAGCGTCAGCTGCTTATCTCGCCCAGAACTGGGCTCCACGCCCCCGGGCGAAGCCAAGGCGCCTGGCGAACTTCGAGTTTGGGGCCATGGAGGCTTGGCCATACGGGACCTTCGATTTTAGCGACGACTAGTAGGCGAGAAGCACGAGACAGCCTTGGAGAGCCGGTTATTTTTGACCGTGGAGCTGAACGCCAACACGAGCGAGGGACTAGACGCCAGTCGCAGTTGGTGGTGGGAGACAGAAAGGAGCGAGAGTGGCGGGGCGTGCTGTAGAGAAGCAGCGTGCTTGGGAAATTCAGTGCTACGAGTACAGGTAAGACGGGATTGAGGACGGTAAGCAAGGAATAGGGAGCTATTCTGTCTTCGCGTCGGTGGGCACGCAGTGATGGACAGAGCGGAGCCTCTTGGCCGGGTAAGGCGCTCCTGGATCACAGTGTTCAGACCTCGGGCAACCTGTATGTACCACAAGTAGGTATGTTGTTCCTTGGGTGGCGCCTGCCTTGGTCTTAGCTCAGCCCTTCCCGTGCGCCCTATCGAGCCTATCACCTCGGGCCCGTGCATCCTTTCCAGGTCGTGGCAGCCTGGTACCAGGGGCCTATCCGGCAAACTCTGCTTCGAGTCGCATCCTTCTCATACTGTGTATCAAGTACCCGCTACATGCCAAGCGTTGCCCTGTGCCTGAGCCCAAGCCCTGCAGGTGACACAATCGGTCAATATGGTGGCACTTCGCGATACGGACTCGTTTCTGTGCTATTATATTCGTTTCTTTTGCCAAATTCAATTTCGTTTTCAACCCTTTGTTTTCCCTCTCTTTCCGATTCCCTTGCGATCTTTCTACTCTCTACCTTCTTTTTCTTGTCCAGCTCGACTTTTGGAGCGGGATTTTCACAGCGATTTATGCCTGCATCACCATTCAATTGTTGATGTTTGCATTGATCCGCTCCCATTCTTCGAGCCCCTGAGACTTGCCGGGGTGATTCCTTCCAATTGGTACACGACTTCGCACGTTGCACGTCCACCTTCTCTGTAGAGCAATCATTCTATTCCTTCCAGCAACATGTCGACTGATTTGGGGTCACTTCCCTATGTCCCGCTGGACATCTACAATGGTACTATACGGCTTCCTTTCTACCACCATGCAGGTCGCTCCCTAGGCGCGCCGAGGAACTACTCGAACTAATGTGAGCTTCCTGCCGCAGGAACGTCCATGACCGGTGGAGACTCGCTCACAGAGGATCTCAATGTCTATTACAATGCCGGCGACATTGCCTGGATGATCACGGCCACTGCTTTGGTGCTTCTTATGATTCCTGGTGTCGGGTATGCGGTTGCCCCTTCGAGTTCGCGTTGACCGATTTGCTGATGGGCGACTCACAGCTTCTTCTACTCCGGCCTTGCGCGACGGAAATCTGCTTTGTCACTCATATGGCTGTCGATCGCAGCCACAGCTCTGATTTCCTTTCAATGGTTCTTCTGGGGCTATTCCCTGACTTTCTCCCATACGGCCGGTAAATTCATTGGAGATCTCGAAAACTTCGGCTTTCGCAACGTCTTGGGAGCTCCCTCCGTCGGTTCAAGCAAGATCCCCGATCTCATGTTCGCGATATACCAGGGCATGTTCGCCGCTATTACCGTCGCCCTCGCCATCGGGGCTGCCGCCGAACGTGGTCGAATGCTGCCTGCCATGGTTTTCTCCTTCATATGGGCAACGGTCGTCTACGACCCCATTGCCTGCTGGACCTGGAATTCCTCGGGGTGGGTCTTCAAGATGGGTGGTCTTGATTTTGCCGGTGGTACTCCTGTCCACATTTCCTCCGGCGCAGCTGCTCTGGCCTACTCTCTCATGCTAGGAAAACGTCGGGGTCACGGTACTCACGAGCTGAACTATCGCCCGCACAACGTCACACATATAGTCATTGGCACCGTCTTCCTTTGGGTCGGGTATGTAGACGTGGTCTATTTCACACGTTTCTAAGCCTCACTAATTGCGTTTCAGGTGGTTCGGGTTCAATGCGGGTTCCGCTTTGTCTGCGAATCTCCGTGCCATTATGGCTGCGGTCGTCACCAACTTGGCAGCGAGTGTCGGCGGTCTCACCTGGTGCATCCTTGACTATCGCTTGGAACGTAAATGGTCTACCGTCGGCTTCTGCAGCGGTGTCATTGCTGGCTTGGTCGCCATTACTCCTGGTAGCGGTTTCGTCCCGGCGTGGGCTGCTGTCGTTTTTGGTGTCGTTGGAGGTATCGCTTGCAACTATGCCACCAAGCTCAAGTTCCTCCTCCACATCGACGACTCCCTTGACATTTTCGCAATTCACGGCGTCGGCGGTCTTGTCGGAGACCTCTTGACCGGATTTTTTGCCGCCGACTACATTGCTCATCTAGATGGGTTTAGCGAGATATCTGGTGGCTGGCTCAACCATCACTGGATTCAACTAGCTTATCAACTCTGCGACGGTGTCACTGGAATGGCTTATTCCTTCGTCGTCAGTTGCGCCATCTTGTTCGTTCTCAACTTCATACCGGGCCTGCACCTTCGTGCTTCTGAACAAGAAGAAATTATGGGCATGGACGAGACTGAGATCGGCGAGTTTGCATATGACGTGAGTGCTCCCTCGTAAAGCGTACTGTTTGCACGCTGACTTATATGTAGTATGTCGAATTGTCCCGAGACGTTGTCAATGGCCTCGAACAAGACACTCCTGTCCACCGAGAAGTACCCAGCTCCGATGGGGAACACCCTGAGAAGCCTCACCAGCCAGCGAATTTGCCCCATTCACCGTGAACAAGGAGGATGCGGTGAAGATGTTAAATTTCGACATGTGACCATATAGTATGCTCTCCAGATGGCTCCAGCTTTACCGACCATCTCTTGTATTGAACAGACAGGAGTTTCTACAATATTGCGTTAATCATTGAAATCATCCATAATGCTGTCAAAAAAAAAACCCCCTCTGTTTCACGAATTGCCAGAAGAAGTGACATTGAGATCTTGGTCATTTAGGTGGCTTCCTCTCACAGCGGGAAGTCGTCCACGTCGTTGAAAGTAGAAGTGTGCATTCGGAGGTGTTGGCAAAGACTCCGTAATCGTATATTAGCCCGAGCGTTAATAGAACAGACGATGAGCTATTGGTGGATCTCATTCACGTGGTGCAGGATGATTTTACAG